ACTCAGCCTGTGCTCATATTTCATAGACGGCATCAATTTTCTAGCATCTTTAATAGCCTGTGCTTAAGAAGAACCACTTTGTATACAGACAGACAGAAAATGTAAGTATGACTACATTAGGAAAAGACAAGTGGTAACCATGCTGACTCCTGAGAGCTAAAAACTTAGTATGAAAAAAAAGGAAAAGTACAGTCATGTTAGCTCAGGACACAGCACTGTTTTCCTAAAGCTACACTGGTTCCAGGACCAAGTTAGAATATTTTTACTCATTAAATTACTTAAAAATAATCAGCACACCTGATGACTTTGTGAAATGAAGTAATAACTTAAACTTGTTTGTACAGCTATTTAAACAGAAGCTTTCTCCTATACGATTTTTTTTTCTGTCTTGCATTACTACTGTTCATTTGGTTTTATAATACTATTTCACACAACTGGACTGTGGGCTGCTACTTTGTGTTGTTAAAGCACTGTTTGTTTATTCTAGCTACTTAAAAAACAAGCAAACAAAAACTTATCACCAATACTTTCAATATTTGGAGTATAACAAATACTCCAAATTCAATTTGATATAAGTAATGCTTTAGAACGTGCCATTTCATTCTATATGCAGTAAAATAATTTCCAGTTCCTATAAATTTGAAGTTTGTTACTTGCAGTACGACGCCAAGAAGCTGCAATGTCCCCAAATTACTTACGAATTAATATACAACCTTGAATATATTTTTAGCCATAATATCACTATAATAGAAGCCAGCTATTCCAGAGCTGTTCTTTTCTACTACCTAATTCTTGTTCACCTTTTCCATAGTTCTCCTTTAACCCTTTCAACTAGCATTTCCTGTTATCCGGGAAACATTAAACTAGATTTTATAACACGGTGAATCTAGACTGTTTCAACATGACCATGAACAAGGAAAGCAAATAGAGGAAGATGAAAGAACAGCTACTATCTGTATTTGTATGAAAAGATCCTTTCCAGAAATGGTCAGACACTTCTGTCAAGTGTAGTTATTCACATTAGTCAGTGAGGTGTGCCAGGCCGACCCAGTATTAGAAACAAGGAATTTCTTGCTTCTAAAACCTTGACAGCTGCTAAAAAATTTATCCAAATTAATGATGGAGTTAAAATAAACCACATTAAACCACTGTGTGACCACCCATTCAGAATGACAGTGGGCTTAACTAGTCATTTTTTAATTCGTGTGCTTTGAATGCTTTGGAGGTAAGACAACTATATCTGCATTTCATGTCAGCTCTTCTGTATGAGAAGGTGGCAGTCTATTGCTGAAGATGTGAGAACCTATTTTCAGGAGAGGGCAGATGCTAGGACAGGCAGTAAGCAAACCAGGGTGGTCCAAGCTGCGATGCCTGTGAACATCCTAAAAGCAGACACTTACGCACTTTTGACTCCAATACTGAAGATTTAGGTACCTGCAGATCTGTGGTCTCTCCAGGCTTAGTTGGCTGCTGAGTTGGGGTGTTCTTTTGTTTGTGTGAATTGTGAACTTGGGCAGATTTTTTAAGGTATCTCCTATTCACAGACTGGTTTTTAAGAAATCTGTCCCCAGCTGTTTTACCTCTCATGTACTTCTTTTTCTGTGTGTGTGAGAAAATGAAAAAAAGTGTCTGTAAAGTTCTCTGAAGTGCTATTGTATACATATAATACAATATAATAGTATGTCTCACTGCTTACTCTTTATATGGCACTCAGAACTCGCAGTTTCTGTGAGAAAGATGTAACAATGATGATCGCTTGCAACTGAAGATGAAGTAAAACGGGAAAGTTGCAGAAAAATTCCTGGAGCACAGCAAGTTAAAAAAAATAAATCCCCATGACTAGTCCTTGTGATGCAATCACAACTCTATGCTAATAAAAAATGAAAATTGCTAAGAAGTCAGTAGCTTAAAGGAAACCCCTTCAGGCCACCAGTTTGCCCTGCATATCCGAGTCCTGATTCTCTTCAGGTACTTTCCAGGATTTATTAAAGCCACATCTTTTTTTCTTGATATGATTTTCATGACTAAAAGGGTTTGTCAGGAAGAGAGGGAGGAAGGACAGATCTGCTACACAATTGGTCCAGTCTGTCTGTAACCAGAAAGTTTTACCAGTGACGTAGAAGGTGGTTTAGTACAACTGTTTCTATGTGGCAGAGCCTTAGGTTGGAATAAGAGCTGCTTTTTAGAGTTTAGTCCTTTCCAAAACAACATAAAAGGTGCTCTTTTACCAGTCTGGCTTTTCAGATAAGTGGCATGTTTGGAAAACACCCTTTATGTGTAAACAGAATATGGGATGAAATGCTTTTCTGTGAAGATCTCTGGTCATGTTTTGACTACACGGAGCAGCAAAAAGGTGGGTATTTCTCTTCTTGTTTTTATTTGGATTACTGTATGGGAAAAAACCCAATACAGGCCCAACTCTTTAAGTAATTCCTCCTACTTTTGTGCGCACTTGTCTCCTGTGTAGATATCCCTGGGTAACCTTTCCATCCTCTTCCAAGTCATCTGCGTGGAAAAACCCTCCCAGGTTGACCATGGTGCCGGTGTGCTCCAAGTAGAGATTTCTGGGTGGGGAGTACATCCGGTGACCTTTTAGCTGACATATGTCAGAACTAAGGGGTCATTGTGCCCCCTTTTCAGTCCTCTGTTGGCACTTGCCTATCTTTGAAGTAAGACAAAACGGGACGCTTGCAGCGGCACCCCTACAAATAAGGGCCGAATTAATAGAAGACGTGTTAAAAAAAAAAATTGAGAAGTACCAATTATAGGACTGTGGAAACAGTCAGCACATCATCCCATTAATAGAAATACCTTCAGGGCAGGTGTCAAGAGGCTGGGGCCAGACTCTTTTCAGTGGTGGTCAGCAACAGGTTAAGGGTCAACAGGCACAAACTG